GATAGATAGATAGATAGATAGATAGATAGATAGATAGATAGATAGATAGATAGATAGATAGATAGATAGATAGATAGATAGATAGATAGATCACAAAGCACAAACAAAATAGCAGCTGATAAAGGGTAAATAGGTTACAAAATTGCAAAGCATTGGACTTAAATGTGAACTGGTTTTCCTAAATATTGTAAATGACTGAATTATCCAGGAAATGAAAATGAAACGCAATGTCCAGTGTTGATAAATTACAGTGGAGAAACTGTAACAGGGTCCAACAGTTAGACTAAAGCATTCAGAGGCCTTCCAGTTCCACAAGTCCACCATTCATCAGGTCCTCAGAGATCTGTCAGTTAGCAGGGACCAGTCTGGTGTGGACACAGAAGTATGTGATTGATGGTGAGAGATACCAGACATTGCAATGTGAAACTCTAGAAGGTCTCCATGCTGTCACTTTCATCACATTCTTGTGCTGTTGTTTTTTCAACTGTAAATCAGACATAAAGCCAACTCCACTTGTCCCGGCTTTTGTTTTGAGCTCAGCAGTGTTGCAAACTGTAACTGAAAGAAGGCATGGGTGACTTCAAAAAGCTGCTCTGTGGAAAATCTTACATCTCCTCTCACAGCAGCTTGTATTCATATGTGGGGTCAGAAAATATCTGGCTGACATTCGAGGAGCAGACCACACAAATACAGACACAACAGAGCTGTCAGTGAAGACACAAATCTCTGGGTCTTTATATTCTGAAGAAGTGACAACAGCCTGAAGTCAGGTGACATGAAGGATACTCACCTCAGACTGCTCAGCTGTTATGTAACAGAGAATGGAGTTGGGCAGCTGGACTGACCTCTACCTTACATGTTTGTGTGATACTTCACCGTAGATTGACATTTACATTTCAATCTCATATTCCTGTACTGTATTTCAGGAGGAGTTCTAAGTTCTAACATATTGGTCTTCATTTTTTCAGTGATTTTTTTCTGCCAGTTTAGGGTATCTACAAGTTTAACCTAAGAGCATTATTTTGGTGCTGGACCTTCAACAGGGTTGCTGGTTTGCGTCCCGGTGGGGGCACCGGAATCTTCCTGCGTGGAGTTTGCATGTTCTCCCCGTGCAGCGTGGGTTCTCTCCGGGTTCTCCGGCTTCCTCCCACACAGTCCAAAAACATGTTGAGGTTAATTGGTGATTCTAAATTGTCTGTAGATGTGAATGTGAGTGTGCTTGGTTGTCTGTCTCTAAGTGTGGCCCTGTGATAGACTGGTGACCTGTCCAGGGTGTCCTCTGCCTTCACCCTGAGTCAGCTGGGATAGAGTCCAGCCCCCCCACGACCCTAATGAGGATTAAGCGGTGTATAGATAATGGATGGATGGATGGACCTTCAACAGGCAAATGATGACTGTGCTTGACAATTTACTTGATGAAGCTCGAGCACCAAAACTTTGTGCTAATAAATGTATCTTTACAAGTTAATTAATGAAATAGATGCACGAAGAGTTTCTTTGTTTGAAGCAAACAAAACAATCAAAAACTGTACACCACAAAAAAGTCTGTGGAGCAGTCTGGATGACAGTCTCAATATAAGTACAGCTATAAAACAACTGATCAAAATACACAAATATATTGCAAATATAATAAAGTGGAACAGTGAAGGAGCTCTTGAGGTTTATAAAAATATAAGGTTTGATGTAGCAGCTTGGAGCTAATAAGTTAAACTTCATTCTGTTAATTTTCAGACATTATTGTAGGTTTTTATTTGTTTGCGTTTGTTTAGTTTTTTCATTGTTTGTTGTATTTTCCCTTTATGATCGTGTGGTATATCTGAAATTAATAAAAAGCAAAATGTCATGGCAATCGTTTATATTTCATGCTTAGGTTTCTGTGTAGCACTGATGCTGTGGTATGTGTAGAGTCACTGTATTTCTCCGACATGGAGTTCAGTTCCACGTGAAATGCTGGTTCATTGTCGAACTGTTTGAACTTTCAGCTGAATAGAGCAGAACTTGTAGAACTCAGTAGTCAACAAATTATCAAAAAAAGGTCTCAGATCAAAGAGAAGAATATCTGTGAAGTTTCTCCTTATGTGTGTGATGCAAACCGATTTCAAAATCACCTGCGTGGGTGTGGAGGGAAACCTTTAATTAATACAATTCCAAAGGGCCAAATTGTGTTTAGAATAAGCATTAAATTTTATGCAAAAAAGGTCAGTGACACTAGTTATCATAGTAGCAGTAGTTGCAGTTTATTTCTCTGTATTAAATCTCTCCCCTCATATTACAGGAAAAGCCTTTGTGCCTAAAAAGATGGTGGACCCCATCATAGAGAGCGTGACTCTAGAGCCGGAGCTGGAGGAAGCCCTGTCCAGTGCTACTGATGCTGAACTCTGTGATATTGCTGGTAACACACCCTGACACTCTCACACACTTCACCTTACGCTCATGTATTACAGCAGCGGTCTTCAACCTTTTTTGCACCACGGACCGGTCATTACGCACATAACAAATAATAATTGTTTTTTTTTTCTATTGAAAAGTTTCATAAATAAATAAAATTACTTTTTATTGCTTAACATGTTTACTTTTCCTCTGTCTCAGTATCAAGTCTCTTCCACTTTCCAAAGCAGCTCTCCTGAGACGTTTGTTTTTGACTGACGGCTTCGTTTAGCAGCCGGGCGTAAAAACTGACAGTCAAGTGCGGGAAACGAACACAAACGGAAGTGACGGGAAGACGAGCTAGTCATGTTTCAAAATAAAACACCCTGCAGACTCCGCTGGAAATAAAAATAAACCAATAAAACGTTTTTATTCTATCTGTGCGGCCCGGTACCAAATGACCCACGGCCCGGTACCGGTCCACGGCCCAGTGGTTGGGGACCACTGTATTACAGGATAGACGTATTGGTGTTATTCCAACAAATGTACCAGTATTTTTATGAAAAGATGGCATTTTGTTTACAGATTTTCACCTATTTCATTGTTGATATTTTGAACATTTGTTTTTCTCCAAAAGTTCTTGGTCTATTTTTCTAAATTAAAGAGAAAGAAATGAAGCATGCTCACTCTTACACACTCAAATACATCTATAATCCACTGTGTGATATCCATAGTCTTGATTTGCACTGTTAAATATTCCAAAATGTCATTGTCTAACTGTTTTCAATCCCCGCAGCACTCTCACTAATCAGTACAAACCCACCGTCATGGCTTTAACTTTCCCGTCAATCTTCATTTCCTCAGTCTAACTCTTCTCCATTTCCTCCAGCGCTCCTTCCATCCACCCTTCCCCTTCATCTCTCCATCAGTATCTCCATTTTCTTCACCTCCCTCATCTCTGCTGGATCTGTCTGTCCGTTAGCTGAGCACCATCCGGGGTATCTGCAGACTGCACAGCGTGTTTGCATGGAACAGTTCTGGTTCCCTTGCCTGGTTCATGTTGTCATTTTGTTATGAGCAGATGTTCAGAAAAACGCGCAGGTCGACACACACAGTGGAGCTCTTACTGGCCTGTTGGTGTTCATGCATGACCAGAGGTTTCTGTGAAATGCATAATAGATGCTGCTGCTGTAGCAAATAAAATAGATTTTTGCATGTACTGAAAAAACGTTGCATCTGTTTTCACAAAAAATGTGCAACTTGATTGGACCTTTAGTTTTATTTTGACAAACTACGGCTTCCGACATTCATTTCAGTGGCAAAAACAGATACTTGAAGAAATATCGCAGATAATCCCTCGATGTTTTACACATTGCTGCTGACAGAACAGAGGTTTTATTAACCTTTGTCATTTACCCTAACCCTAACCCTAATACATCATAACCTTTTAAAGACATATAACTGGCTTAACTTGATTAAATTGTGCTTTTACTAAATTTCTCAAAGACAATCCGCACCTCCAACTTATGTGGAATACACTTTGCTACTCCAGAAACATTCGTTGGCATCAAAACACCCTGTTTAGTTTTTTAGCTAATGAGTTGAGTTAACAGGTTATTAGGAGTACACAGAGTGACTGTGTGTTTGTTTTAGAGTGAGTAAACACATTTAGTTTAAATGCTGCCAGAGTAAATGTGCAACATCGCTACTGTCACTGGCGTAGCAGGAATAATACTGCAGAACATAAACGAGATATATTTGAGGATACCGTGTCTCTGGAGTTGCCGGAGATAACATTTCCGCTTTCTTCTAAGAGCAGCTTGTGGTCGGGAGCTCAGCAAACACAGCCTGGTGCTCGCAAACTCCGGCAAACAAACAATAACTCCTCTATAAATCATTCTTTTATATAGAGTGTCCTCAGAGTAAGTGCTCTGTCGGAAACTGCTCTGCCAGAGAACGCCTGGCTTGACAGGCTTTGTTTCTTGACATCCTTTATTAGTAGGATGTAGAAGGTTGGAGCGGTATATTGATCTACAGGCAGCCAACCAAGAGCAGAAGCTGCACAAATCAAAGCCACTACAAGTTGCCAATTAAACTCCTGGACCTGAAACCGTACAGGATACAAATGCTTGATTATTAAAACAGCCGATGCCAGGCTTGGCTCGCTTGGGGAAACTGCAAGAGCTTTTGTGCTGTATATATATTAACAAGTTAGTCCGCTGTCTGGCTGCAACGGGGTGTTCATTAAATCTACAGACCCGCAGCACCGATGTCCCTCTCTCTCTCTCCTTTTTATTTGTCTTTTCTGATATTCATTCTCTTTATTCTTCCAGCCATCCTGGGCATGCACACCCTGATGAGCAACCAGCAGTACTATGAAGCCCTCGCCAGCAGCACCATAGTCAACAAGCAAGGCCTCAACAGTATGTAACACACAATTACACACGAGTTCCAAAATGTATGTTAATGAGTCTTTATTTGGAGAAATCTGCCAACTTGAGTGATCTGCCTTCACTTGACACAACCACAAATGCATTCGGTGCTGGGAAACGAGTAAAAGTAGCCTAAAATAAAGCAGATCACTCAGCGATTATCAAGAAAATATCACCTCATTCCAGAAAAATGCTCAAGCGGGTTGGACTGCGAGCGAAATGAGCTCATGCTGGCAGAATGTAAGTTTATTTTACCAAAGACAATGGGCTCAGTCTTTTCTGTTGCCCTCGACGCGAGCTCAAATAGAGTTAATAAGTAGATGAACGTCAGTAGATGCAGACGCTCATCCGTTGCCCTATAACTACTTGAGGAATAGAGCATCACCGATGATTCATCTGTTTATACTTCAGCTTGTGCTAACTAATGTAAACTATTGTATTCTGCGATCACTTTAACCCCTTCATCACGTTCAGACACACACACACGCACACACAAGTTAATGAGCCGTTGTTTATCTTGTCTGGTGGCTCATCCTATAGATTCTCCCACAGCTCTAAACACAGTCAGAGACTTCCAAATATGACTGGCTCATAAAGAGAAGCAGCTATAAAGTGTGCGATTCGCCTGCCGAAATTGCCAGTCGCTTTGTTTTCAGTGGAGATGCACAGGATGCCGTATAAAGCAGTGTTTGGATAATTTGTCTTTTTTTAATGTTTGAGCATTGATGACATGAAGACGATGGGAGACTATGTTTAAAAAGCCATATATGTAATATGGTATACTGAAAGAACACATTTGTTGTTCCAAATAACCAAAGGAAGCATTTTTTTCTGTTTGTTTTAAATCATCTATCAGAGTGACTCCACAAAGGTTTTACCAACTATAAACTTAACCCCTTTTTTTTTTAACTAGAGCACAAAATAAACAGATTTTGTTGAGTTAAAAGTTGCACAACACTCATAAAATACTAGTAATGCCTGGCGAGGACTCTGTAAACTCCTTCACTGTTATGGATTAACATCTCTTGGCGTAACAGTTTTGGAAAATACACTTGTTCCCTTTTTTTTTTTTTGAGAGGATACGAATCATTCTCACGTCCGAGTATAGAACGCTGTGCTTTGTTTGGCGAGAGACGTACATGTAGGCAGACGTGTTAACAGACGCTCAAGCAATTAATTACTCAGATAATGCTGTTTACAGTGCGCAGTGAAGTAGATTTGGAAATTGGCTGACTCTTAAACTCTTAATGAGGACATGTGTCAAGTGACGACAGGACTGCACGTTTATTTTAATGTGTTCTTCTTGCGGTACGTTTACTCAGACCCTCCAGCTGTCTCCTGTTGTGCATGAGATTGTTCTGTACTTGTGTTGGATACCAGGTGTGATCCAGTGCACCCAGTATAAACCAGTCCCCGATGAGGAGCCCAACTCCACCGATGTAGAAGAAACTCTGAGGAGAATGCAAAGTAATGATCCCGACCTGGTGGAGGTCAACCTCAATAACATCAGGGTAAGAGTGAGGATCAAAAGGAGGATGTGTGCGTTTGATTTTTATGTATTTTGGATTTGGTCAGTATATTTTTTTAACTGAAACATGATGAAGTTCTGTTGAACATGAATCATCTGTTTCTCTGTTAATCGATCTTTTCTAGTACTGACCACGAGAGAAAACAAACTGGTCTCACAACAAAAAAAAAAGATTAATTAAAATGTTAAATTTAAAACTGCACATTTTATTTTGTGAGAGAAGAAAACTCATATTTAAATTTTTGTATATTATCATCATTATTATTGTTGTTATTGTTGTTTATTCAGTTTAAACAATTTTGTAAAATTATTTTTGAGAACATTTTTTTTATAAAAGAATCTTTCTTAAATGATAACAATTACTAATAATTACTAATAATGATAATTCAGGAAATTTAAACAACTCAGAATTCATCTTTGCGGTTGTAGTTTGTTATAATAAAGACATTTACAGGGATGTAATTTTGTCTTTGTTTTTATACCCAGAACATCCCCGTCCGCACACTGAAGGCGTACGCTGAGGCTCTGATGAAGAACACTGTGGTGGAGAGGTTCAGTATCGTAGGAACCAGGAGCAATGACCCCGTAGCATTTGTAAGTCCAGTGTCTGTGAAGATTCTCAGTCATCCAGGTCGTGGTTATTCTGGTAGATTAGTCGTAGCAACTGGACTCGCTTGAGTTCCTTGAAGACGTTTCACCTCTCATCCAACTGGAGAGGTGAAACGTCTTCAAGGAGCTCAAACAAGTCCAGTTGCTACGATTGATCTACCAGTGTAAGTCCAGTGCTTTTATCAAGATTTAACCACTCTTTATTTTAATGAAGTATTTATTTAGTTTTTATCTATAACAGCTCACTTTTCACTTTATAAATGGCATTTTAACATATATACACTATTGCAAAGACACCTGATGCAGATTTTATTTTACCTAATGTGGCTATCAGTAGCAGAATTACAGAGCATGTGAGTTGTAAGCAACGCTGCAGATAAGATCCACGACGTGCTGTTTGTTTCTCTCAGGCTCTGGCGGAGATGTTGAAGGTGAACACGACGCTCAAGAGTCTGAACGTCGAGTCCAACTTCATAACGGGGACTGGAATCCTTTCCCTCCTAGAGTCGCTGCAGAACAACACCACACTACTGGAGCTCAAGATAGACAATCAGGTACCAACCGGCACACGGTCGACCCACTGCACAGAGAACATGTCGATTTATACACACTAAAAAAAAGTGCGCGTCAGGTTGTGTACACAGACCATCGCTGCCACTTCAGTCTAATGTTCCCACACTGCATTGTGATGCGTCATTCTGCATAGCAGCTGTGACTCACTCATTTTTTATTTCCTTTAGTCCTTTTTAGAAATTAGCCTGCAGTGATTGATTAAAGTGAAGGTGGAAATCATTTGTAGTGGCCCTAGAGGGGATGTAGTCATTGCAGTGAGCCTTTCTCTTGCCTTTTTGTGTGTGTGTGTGTCCCCACAATCTCATCACAAATACACTTCTTTTTTTTCTATTTCTTCTCCTCCATCCAAACCCTCGCTCCCTCTAAACTCCAGAGCCAACCGTTAGGCAACAAAGTGGAGATGGAGATCGCCAGCATGCTGGAGAAAAACACCACATTATTGAAGTTTGGGTATCATTTCACCCAGCAGGGCCCGCGTCTCCGAGGCTCCAACGCCATGATGAACAACAACGACTTGGGTGGGTTTTAAGGCACACACATGCGTTTGGTAACACAGATGCCGTTTCGGAGAAATTAAACTGAGAAACATGACTTTGGGCTGGACTCAAACCGATAACATTTCTCGTACGTAATGTATTCGATGACAGATTCGCCTCATGTTCGTTATGTAACTCTGTCTTTCAATAGTATTGCGTTTGGCAGCGTTGGTTGTCAGTGTTGACTCTTTATCTTCACTATATCTCCGTGAGTTCTACTTTAATCAGTGTCTAATAGAAGAATCAGAGTGATATCATCGGCCGGTAACTCAGTAGTACGGCCAGAGGGCCTCGGCCAATCAAAACACTACCTTCCTGAGTTATGACATCAATACTAAGAAAAGACTTCGTGCATGAGAGGGAGAACAGAACCGAACGAGTGCAGGAGATGTTTTCTGCTCTGCTTGTGCGCAAGTTATGGCGGCGATTCCTGTATTCGATAAGTTCATATTTAACATGTTATAAAATACGTTAATGTTCATGATCGAAAAAAGCTCAGCTGGATCAACTTCTCTCTGACAGACTCAACAAATACGTAGCCTTATAAGCCTCACAATGTCAGCGCTTGTTAAAGTTAATTTAGAGAGGATAAGTGTTTGAATCAACGCCATTTCTGCACCTCCAGGGAAGGTTTTAGTTCAGGTATGTTTGGATATGGTTTATTTGCTTTGTTGCTTCCATTGGTTTTACAATCTGCTTGTATTCTTGTCCTTGACGTTAAGTGTGTTTGTCATAATTTGTGATATGTTTTTCCTCCACCCTGCTCATCGTTAAGCCCGAGTCGTCAGGTCAGATTCCGACGGCTCCTTCACCCTCACTCTGTCTGTCCCCGAGCTGGAGAGAGCCTTCGGGAAAAAGTTCAAGTCCAAGACTAAGTAAAACGAAAACACAACCGAAACCCAAACACAACAGTGTTCAGCCTTGCCTTTCTGCTGCCAACACCTCCTGGTTTCTTTTCCAGCCCACCAGAAGCTCTGCCTCCTCTTGTCAAACTCTTATAGGAGTTTCTGTTGCTTCTCTGCAGCACCTGGCTTTACTTTGCTTCTTCTCAGCTCCTAGTCATCTCAGGCCACTCTTAGGCCCCCTGTGTATTTCCAAAAAAGTGCAAGAACTCTGGAAGATCTGGGACTCAATAAATGGGATTGAGCTCTTGAAAAGTTTAAAGCACTCGAATAAACTTGGCAATGAAATGTCACTGAAGGTATTGCAAAGATAAAACAATCTTGGGTTTTAAAATGCACCTGAATAACTGTGCAGATAAGATGAAGTTTCCAAAATAGACAGATACAGATGAGAGGGGAGCTCAGGTTCGCTTCTGCTATTTGTTCTATGAAAACATATGACAGAAGTTGAGTTCAAGCCTGACACTGAACAAGACGCACATCTTTTATCTGTCAGCATCCTCTGTACGCCTTTTTCTGTTTATAAAATCTGATTGTAAATGTTGAAACTGCTCAGTTTTTTCTCGCTTTAGCAGCTTCTGGGTGTTCCATTTTCTTTTGTCTTCACCGTGAAGCTGCAGAAGTCTGTTGTTTTCACTTTTCCAGAGCAAACACGTGCTGCTGTGTTGCTCTGGTTTTTATTTTTAAGTCCATTATCTTCCTCTGTGACAGTTTTACTTTTTGGCTCATTCCTCCTCTCCTGATCTGGTGTTTTTACCATCCCTGCATCGCCTGCAGGAATTTGGCTTACTCTGCTCAGCCTCATCCTCTCTTCTGCTCTTCTAAACATCACTCTTCAAACCTCCAAAGCTGGATCATCTTCTGGGCAAAGGGTTCCCCAGACCCCTCCGTAGCCTCAGAGACTTTGGGTTCACTTTCATGGTGATTAGTTTGTGGCTGAATTTGCTTTTTTAACTTTAATAAGATATAATAACAGTATAAACTGAAAGGACGCTCAAGGTAGCTCCTGTGTTATCACCTAGTTTTTGATCTTTGTGTAAATTGGTTCAGAGTCAAACTTGTTTTATTGTTCAAGATTCCACAAACTAATTTCTGATTATTTGTCCCAGAGTCACTTTTCCAGCTCCTGTTCTTACTCATGTCTCACTTGCTGAAGCTGTTTGCAGCTGATCTTCATGTTCTGAAAGCTACTCTCTCCTTTCAGTTGCTTCTCTTCTTGCTTAAATCAGACCTCGCTGTGCACAAGATGACGCTCTAGATTGCGATCTCTTTGTATCTAATTGTCATGGCTTTTTCTTTCTCCGCCCACAGTAAGAAAGAGAAGGCTTGAGGGAGGACCCATCTTCCCAAAGTGTCGGACGAATGTGTAGAAACCGGGGCTACCTTCAACTCCCTGTTCACCTTCAACTCCCACCATCGACGACTCCCTTCGGCCCGGATCGCCGTCCTCCACATCAGGTTCCACTGTTTCAGTTTAAGAGACAATCTCTGAACTTTTTTTTTTGTTTTTTTTTAAATTACAGACTTTTGTTCAACAGATATTAAAGGATCCAGCTGGATTAATCGGCAGCAACCTCCTGAGCTCCGTGAGTGACATTAGCACGAGTACAATAAACTGTACCTCTTTGTACAAACTAACCAGGCAAACGCCTACTTAGCCATTTTGAATCCTTTAATATCTTATCGATCTAGACTCCTTAATAAAGGGGCTGAAGGTCTGGTTTTGAATGTGGGCCCATTTGAAAGTCGATGGGTAACTTTTAGCGACCCCTGTTTCTGCTGAGTTGAATGGATTCTAATTATTATTACTGTGCTGTAAATGAGTTGTGCTGTCGTTACTGCTGCTCCCAGCAGCTCTGTTGTTGCTCCAATGTCTGCGTGCAAAGTTTTTTTTCTATCAAGCCTTTTGAAATTGACACACCGTAAGAATAAAATACTATAATATCAGATTTTGAGAAAATCATTAAAAGCTAACATTCTACCTTTTTTTCCTCATAAACAGAGTCCTTTGGTGACTCCATCAGATACTAAGCTACACAGATTCTTCAGTAATTGACGGACAGGTTGTAAAGCTGGCTACTGTAAGATTTGTCACCATAATATATTTATTTGAGACAGACCTGGAAAAGAGTCAAAAGCCGTTCAAATAACTTGACTGGGCTGGATAGTGTAAGAACACATGTAAAAATGTCAAAGAAAGTTATTATCAGTCTTTACCTGCCAGCCAGGGAGGCATCTGTCAATTCAATTAGTTTTTTCCTATAAACCAAAGTCAGATATTTCCGGAATCCACTGTAAGATACTGTCTGAACACTGCACTGTTATATAGAAGTACTCGCCTACAGTCAGACTGCAATGATAACCCAAACAAGCTGCGAGTATTTGAATGGGTTTGTGTTACACTTTTAACCAGGTCTGGTTTGTTGAGTCTTTGTGTTGTTTTTTTTTTTTTTATTATTATTATTATTTGTATTTACTGGAGCTAAAAATGTGTGTTTTATTATAAAGTGGTTGCTACTGTTGTTTATTACAGGTTTCACATTAACGCCTCAATCCTGATTTGGAGGGTTTCAGTGATGGATGTTGGATTTAAAAAAACGGGGAAACTTCTAAGACAGAACTACTTTTTTAATAGAAAGAAACGTTAAGGGAATATCTACACATCGGAATGCTTCTTCAATATGCTTAATGGGAATTAAGTCAAAAACTGAACATAAAATAATCCTGTAGGAGTTTACAATGGAAATATTCTTCCCATCAGGCAAAACTTTTACTCGATTCACCACACAATGAGGGAACAGAAGGGTTAGCTGATATCTAACCAGGCACTAAAGCTCCAGTAAAAATCACAGGAAGTGGCGTGTTAGTTTTTATTAGCTCAAGATGAAATTACCTGCTTTACGAAACATCCGTGTTTCCTTGAATGACTGTGCCTGTAACTGGCACTCGGAGATGCAAAAAAAAAAAAAAAAAAAAGATCTGACAGCATGTTTAAGGGTTCGTTGACCCATTTAATGTTATTTCATATCACTATGTTGTTACCGTGTCGTCTGTGCTGTGGCCGGTGTTCTACAAGAGGTGAATGTTGAGAGCTAAAGGTGAACGAGCCACTCACGGTCTGTGTGTGTCCTGTTCTTTACTTCAGTCTTCTGATATTGTAGTGCTTGACTCTGTTTTGTTAGATAGTTCACCTGTTTTGGTTGAATTTTTTTTTGTTTTGTTTTGTTTATGAATTTAAATAAAGCTTGAAAGTAACATTTTTCAAATTTTACTTTGCTGTTCTGCTTCTGCCTGGATCAAATCAAATCAAGTGTATTGTCATTTTGCTGTACATACACAGCAGGCGAGATGAGCGAGAGCGTTTCTTCAGGGTCATTTAATTAGCAAGTTTTGCGGAATGAACATCTGGGATGGGGGCTGCAGGGTGGCGCAGTTGGTAGCACTGTTGCCTCGCAGCAAGGTCGCCGGTTCGCATCCCGGTGGGGGCACCAGAATCTTTCTGCGTGGAGTTTGCATGTTCGTGGGTTCTCTCCGGGTTCTCCGGCTTCCTCCCACACAGTCCAAAAACATGTTGAGGTTAATTGGTGATTCTAAATTGTCCGTAGGTGTGAATGTGAGTGTGCTTGGTTGTCTGTCTCTAAGTGTAGCCCTGTGATAGACTGGTGACCTGTCCAGGGTGTCCCCTGCCTTCGCCCTAAGTCGGCTGGGATAGACTCCAGCCCCCCGTGACCCTAGTGAGGATTAAGCGGTGTATAGATAATGGATGGATGGACATCTGGGATGGCGAAACACTCAATGGATGTGTAGAGTGCAGTATTTTCCATATCAAGACCACAGTGACGCTCGGTGGCAAATGACAGAATTACACCGGTTTGGTTCACTGTCCATGTTTCCTACACACGGCCCTGTTCAGACCAGCAGCTTTACACATTTGACTTGTAACACTGAACACTTATTATCTTCAGCCAGTTTACTGAAGAAGCTTCTCCTCACAGCATTCTGAAGAAAACAAGAAAAACTGTTGTAGTAGCTCAGCACTGTGTGAAAATGTTTAGAAGTAACAGACCTCAAACTGATCTGAGATGCAGTCGTGAGTATGAGGTGGGAAAATTCATGTACTGTGACAATATCACAGAAATGATGAGTGTGAGGAACATCCAGGTAAAATTGTTGGCATTTTGACAAACTGATTTGAACATGCAAGTATTTAATCCTACAGATAAAATGGTTTTCTTGAATATCTGTTTTTTTTTTCCCAGTCAGATTAGCTTCTTCACTCATTTTTTGAACAAAACTATTAACAGATATGTTATTCTTTGTGATAGAAAATACCCTCAGCGGCCTTAGAAGCTCCCTTTCACAGGTTGATAACTTGTAGGTGTTTTGCTTACGTGTCCACCAGTCTCTACTTACTGAAATTCCATCCATCCATTATCTATACACCGCTTAATCCTCACTATGGTCGTGGGGGGCTGGAGTCTATCCCAGCTGACTCAGGGTGAAGGCAGGAGACACCCTGGACAGGTCGCCAGTCTATCGCAGGGCCACTTACTGAAATTTCTTCTGTTTAAATTCCCTTTGTTGCAAAACATTCAAACCCCCCACAACATTGGAATAGGATTCAAATCTGGGCTTTGACTGCATCATTCTATAACCCTCCATTTCTCCTTTTTGAGCCACTTCTCAGATCATTTCTGGTTTAACTTTTGGACCTCTTTGACATGAGGCAGAATTCATAGTCGTATCAATGACTGCAGGCTGAGGCCACAACAACACTTGCTCCGAGGTTCTTCTCCTGAAAGGCCAGCATTGGTGAACATGTCTACTTTTACTATATGACCACACACCTCCATCTCTGACCTGTCTGTCTACAGCATATAATTCCAAAACACCTGCTCTTTGCCTGCATATTCGCTGACAAACTATCTCCTGGAACGCTTCCCATGCAGGTTAAATTCATGCCTTCACTTTTTAATTGTAGCCTCTTGCATTTTCACACCACCAGCTGCAGAGTTACCTTCTTGTTTTTCACCAGATGGTCTGCTCTCGGGCTGAATTTGCTGGGGCGGCGGGTTCTCGAAATCTACGCCACTTGTAGATGATTTTCCTTAAAGCGGAAGGATTTATTTCAAATGTTGTGGAGATCTTTTCAAATCCCTTGCAAGGCTCATAGGTATTCGCAACCTTTTTTTTTTTCTTTTCCTGAAGGCCTTAGAGAGCTCTTTAGACCTTAGCCTGATGACAATACACATTTCAATAGCAAAGAGAACAGCAGAGTGTAGAATTCAGAGGATTAAGGAAAATGGCTTCCACCTTCTACTCCCTCAGGCACTTTGGTCATTGATGTCTAATCCAGAATATTATGGATTTTAAGGTGTATATTATAAAAATGACCATTAAAAAATGTTTAATAATGACTCAAAGAGGATCAAGTCTGCCTTTATCGTATAGCACAGCTGATATATGAAGTAATAAACAGGCTAATTATGTAGTTACAATAAAATATTTAATCATTTGTGATTTGATGCACTGTAGGCAGTTTGTTCCCATTCGTAGGTGTGTCTAATATTACACCATATCATTTTGCCTTTAATTGTTTTACAGTAAAAGTTAAGAATGTACAATATTATCACCCAGTTATAACATTTTGTCAGTTTCATTAAAAAAACAAAACATCATTAGTCACTAATATAGTAGCGTCATCAATCCAGTGCGCCATTTATGCAATCCATCATCCTACACACCTATCTGCTTTATAAAATGTCTCATCAATATAGCAGGGTGTAGAGTGAAATGTACTTAATATGAATGAAATGAAAAATACTTTATTTATCCCAGAAAGGAAATTCAATTCAATATCGGTGAAATTTTAAGATTTAGCCACATTTACATGCATTTTATTCATCGTGTGCAGCTTTAATTTACTTTTGAAGATTTATTGCCTTTACCAAAGAGTTAAAGTGTCCTTTTATTTAATTTTCATAATGCATATTTTTCTTTTTATACCTACTTTTGGGACGTCTGCTGAGAAAATTCTCCTCTAGTGTTCTGATTCTAAGTGAAAACAGATTAAGGGAAGAAGCTTGTTGGTTGTATTACCCCAGGATATTTTTTTATCTTGATAATTTACCAAAAAAAAAAGAAGAAGATGACACATTTTTTTATGTCTGTGAACAAGGTTTTAAGTTTTTATTGAATCTCAGGCAGAAACATACATGATAATCCTTTATTGCTCATGGCATTCTGCATCGCCCTTCACCGGCTCATTCTCACATCGACACCAACAACGGAACAGAATCGAGCAACACGTCACGTCTTCTTTTTCAAACACTCCTGGCTTTTTTCTGTGTAACTAGATCAGTACTCAAAACTGCAGTACTCACTTCACTGTGTGTGTTTGGGTGTGTGTGTGTGTGTGTGTTGTATTGAGGGAAGACGGTCACTTTCTTCACATATGATGCCAAATCCAGACTTGTTGTCCACTCTTCACTTAGTACTGCTTATTTAAACACATACTGCTTATTCATACTGCGTCACTCAGTATTTCCTTCCCATCTAGTAGATCCTGATAGTAATAGTATATATACTGTAAGTTCTGGTTTTATGGCTGAAAGCTTAAGGTTTTGGCTGTCGTTTGAACAGCTACGCAGTCATTCTTCGTCAAAACAATGAAACAACAAAAAAACAAAACCCTGCAAACCTGTAAATTAAATTTCCTGAATGCATACATATCTTTTTCTCTTTTTTTTTTTCCTCTTTTTTTTTCATTACTAATATTATTAACGGTTATATCGACATGGTAGTGAAAACACAGTCAAACTTAGGAGTTATTGCCTTAATATTTTTTGCATGATAAAGAAGAGGAGAAAAGTGGATCGGGGAGGTTTTTGGGGGGAGCACATCGTCACACAACGAACTCGACCAGACAAATGGCATGCAAGACGTAAGAAGGAGACGCTCTGAACGGGGGGGAGTAGAAACATTTTTTAAACAGTATACTACATGAATGTATAACACCTTGATGTTGGCCATCGTGGGATCGTGTAGGGGGGGAGTTACACAATAGGTATTACAGAGAATGTGTCACATTGTGTGCAAAAAGTTTTACATAAATTTCAGACATAGTCAAACGCAAAACAGAAGCTTTAGGAGCACACAACAGTAGTCTTTAAATTTTCTTTTTAAAATATGGCTTATCAAGTTATCACTTTTTTTTTTCTTCTTCTTATTTTCAAGACAGACACACAGAATAATATTTCCATATAATATTTATGATTGTTTGCCCACCTTGAGGCTTGGTATGTATTCATTTATTTATGTACAAATTGAGTGAATGTGGTGGACAAAGAAGATTATTTTTTTCTGTACTGCAAGAGAGTTCTGCAGCTATCGCAGAGGAGAGAAAAAGGAGTTTAAAACTTCTCAGACTAGAAGGATAAACCATCTACCATGTGTCTTTAGGCCCTCTGCTTGCTGTTAGCTTCACAACTTTAACACGAGTCAGGCTAACATTCACCTGGCCGTTGGCTCGGCCTAGCTTAGTCTAAAGGCTGCAGTTCACAGAGTTGGTTCACGTCGGATTCATTTCCCCACCGTGAAACTTTGATTTCACACCAAAACACCGCAACCAAATTTTAGCTTCATTTGAAGTACTTACATGTGAATGGAAAGAAACCTGAACAAACCTTGCAACTGTAGCCAATGAACTAAGCTAGATAATGTTAGCATTGGCTCGCTAGCTAACCTACTTCTTCAGCATGTCTTGCAGCGGACCTGGCAGGTATTTCATCACCGTGTCCATGATGCTTTCCTCTTCCTCCTCGTCGCCGCAGCCAGCCGGCACGGCCTTCTTGGGTCGAGTCAAGCTGCCCTCCGCGGCCTCCTCTGCGGCGGCTGCTGCCTCGGCCTCGGCCACCTCGCGCTTTTTCAAGCCGTACTGGTGGTATAAAGGATGCAAAGAAATACAGTTAAATAAAAACACAAAGTGTAAAGTTGAGCAGTCTTTTTTTTAGTTAAAAACCACTTTGGTTTCATTATTGGTGTACTGCAACCTTGAGGATCGTCACATGACAGTCACTAATCACTGTTCCTTTTCTTCCACTGGTCGCAGCAGGCTAAGCAGGGTATTCCAGATGTCCTTCTCCCCGGCAAACACTCTGCGGTTCCTCCTTTGGGATCCCAAGGCGTTCCCAGGCCAGATGACATGTGTAATCCATCCAGCGAGTTCTGGGTCTGCTCCCAGTTGGCCTGGAAAACCTCCAAAGGGACGCATCCGGGAAATATCCAAATCAGGTGCCCAAACAGCGTCCTTCTTTTGATCTAATCCACTCCGAGCTTCATCCTGATGTTTGAGCTCCTTCAGATTCAAACACCTCAATGAATTGGAACTCAACATGCGGCACAACCCCACCTAGAACAGGGAGATTGGGGCCCTTTGCCATTCAATATCTGGTGGCCAAGATTTGACCTATTGGGCAAAAAAAGCTAGATGTGGCCACTGTCCAGTAAGCCCACCACCTGCAAGGACAGGCATTGGGTTCAGGTGCATTGCAGGTGGTTCACCTCAGTGTGAAGACCCCCGGTGGCGCTGACTGGTTCTGGGGAGGTGGAACGTCACCTTGCTGGCTGTAGCAAATTCATTTTTCTGAGCTTCACAATCTGCTTTAAATAAATTAATTTGATCAATTCATAACAACTTAGAGACTCCAGAACGGCCATATGATTAAAATATTGTATCGCATTCATGGACAGGAAGTCAGACAACTCAGCCAGTGAAAGTTTCAGTCATGCAAGCTTTCAATCATAGATTGTATGTGAAAAATGGACGTAGCCTTCAGGTGTCAAAAGTGAAGAAGATGCAGAACCACCTTACAACTGCATTCTCTCTAATGGCCAGCAGGGGGCGACTCCTCTGCCTGCAAAACGATTGTGATTGTTCAGAAGTATACGAGAAAAATAATTCTACTTCTCACTTGATCTGTGCCCTCAGTAAACATTTCTCTAACAGGTTTATTGCCTCAGTCGCAACTTTCAAGACTTGTTGAATTCAGCACAGTGCTGATTTTGTAAATTATTGCCCCATTAAGAGCACAATGGATGACAAATCAGGGCGTGTTTTAGGGCAGGGCTACCTTGCGATTGACAGGTTGTTATCGTATTGACATGGCCTTGAGTTCTTAGACAGATCCAACCTTCATTCAATACATCCAAATTCAAAAGATGATGATGGTCAAATACCACAAACTAACAGGTGGCGTTACATTTGCTGCATCCATTTTTTGTATACAGTCTATGCTCTCAACCACTTTGACTGTAGAAGGACTCTGCATGGCCACAAAAGCAAAGAGGCATAAAAAGCCATCTTACCGTCTATATATTATCATTCCTTCTTATTCTAAAACTCTCGCAAGATGGAACGTCTGGCTGCTGATTCAAGTTTCCCCAACGACTGGGTGAAACACTATTTGCTCCGTCATCTTTGCTGTAGTATGACATGCACAGTTGCAGACTTCATTTTTCACATTTTCTGGCGCGGCTGAATGAAGCTGTAGAGGAAGCGGACAGAAGCCCTTTGGTAACAAGCACTCTGGGAGTTGTTCTTCGCTCTTTGTCCTCCTCTGGGAGAACTTAAGAGCAGGTGAGGAGCCAGGAGGAGGGATGCTGCTGTTCGTCCCGCTGATTCGCAGTATTCCCCTCAGACCTGCCCCACCCACAGACTGCCTCGCTTGTCTCTGCAGTGAAATGGTTCCACTGCAGCCGCTGCAGCTCTACAGCCTGATATGTGTGTGGGGGAAAAAAAGGGGAACTCTGTCTGACGATGACCTGCCATTAACTGCAGCTGAGTTCAAACCACACAAAATACAAATAAGGGAGAAGCTGTATGGAAGAAATACAAAGCTGCAGAATTGGTTTGAAAGTGGGTGATGGCTTCATGATACATAAATATCTTCATCTTTGTTGGTTTTATTTCTAAATCAATCCTCTCTCTGATCCACCTGTTCCAGTCAACAACAAAAAAAAACGTCTAATTGATTTTAATTAATCCCGACGCCTTCTTTTCATCAGCTCTCCACTTCTATCAGCTCCTTCCTGATCGTCTGCAGATCTATTTTATACAGTGAGAAAAAGTTAAAAATAACTCCAAAGCAAGCGAAATAGTGTCATAACAGTCTATTTCAAACGCAGGTCTTTTATAAAGAAAAACAGCTTTCCTGTCACACGGCGAAGATATGAAGCCTTTAGAAGAACATCAAAAGACAGGACGGCGTGCAAAATCATCAAAACGTCTCGCATGGATGTGACAAATTTTACACCCACTTTATAAGATGAACGTGTGGTAGGAGATCATTTTGCTTGATGGTTTTCTTTCTCTCTTTTCTGTTTTAGCTTTTTGGTTTTAGTAGTTTTTATTGGGTGCAAACTATTTTTTTTAAATGTTTTGTTTTGGTGGCTCTTCTGCTTATGATGAGAGACTGATTAATTGACTGACTAGTTCTTATTGTTGGCTCAAGAACAGCATATCTTTGTCGGAAGATTGCGCAGTGTGTCGTGCATCCCTGCCATCATACCTTATCCCTGATGCCTTGCCTCATGCTTTCCCTCTCAGCCTCCATCTTGGCATATTTGGCCTTCCTCTCCTCCTCCTGCTGCCTCAGAGCCTCCTGTCGCTCCTCCTCTTTCTTCGCTGCGTCGGGATCCTCCTCCTTCTCCTCCCCACCCAGCATTTTGCCGACATCAGGAGGGCCTCCTAAGAGAGAGACAAAAAAAAAAAATAAAGACGTCAGACACAATGACAGCTCCACCAGGCCTTTCGGATTGAGATGTCAAACTATCGAATTAGTCTGTGAGACGCAGAGAAGGAAACAAGCCGAGCCAGACACATGACAAGCAGGTAAATTGAATTCTGGGACTGAATTAGAGATGGATGAATTTACAAAAAAAGAGTTTCATGAAAAAAACGAGAGAGAGAGAGAAACACTACTGAGAGCTTTTGTGCCAATATCCAATATTGTTTGAGTACAATGATGTCCTCGGTTTTCTTTCCAATGTCAACATTCCATTGTTTTACGCTGCAGCTTTCTTGTGAGGGTGGAAAACCATTTTAAAATAACACAAAGGCCACCAGAGGACACTTTACTGAACCTCCAGAAACACTCTTTTCATACATATTCCACATTACTGGTTCAGTAAATTGTTCATCTCCTGATACCTACTGATTTGGCACAAATGCGTATTCATACCACACAAGTGAAACTAATGTAAACTACTACAACAGATCTTCTCTGTTTTCAACGTTTTTATTCACGCAACTCTCTTGAAATTTCACATTTAACACTCGTTGTGTTCTGTTGGGGCTGCAGGGTGGCGCAGTTGGTAGCACTGTTGCCCCACAGCAAGAAGGTCGCCGGTTTGCGTCCCGGTGGGGGCACCAGAATCTTTCTGCGTGGAGTTTGCATGTTCTCCCCGTGCAGTGTGGGTTCTCTCCGGGTTCTCCAGCTTCCTCCCACACAGTCCAAAAACATATTGAGGTAAATTGGTGATTCTAAATTGTCCGTAGGTGTGAATGTGAGTGTGCTTGGTTGTCTGTCTCTAAGTGTAGCCCTGTGATGGACTGGTGACCTGTCCAGGGTGTCCCCTGCCTTTGCCCTAAGTCAGCTGGGATAGACTCCAGCCCCCCCGCGACCTTAGTGAGGATTAAGTGGTGTATAGATAATGGATGGATGGATGTGTTCTGTTGTGTTTAGCTGATGTCTCTCCGCAAGTCAAATAATTACTGGCAAATACGAGACCGAGCAGTGAACTAGTTTAAGACGTTTCATATGGAATAGTATGACCCATTGCTGCTGCTTTTAGCCAGTAAAGTCAAATTTTGTTATCTTGGGTCCACTTTTTATGAAGTACAAGTCAAAAGTTTGGACACACCTACTCATTTTTTTTTTGTATTTGGTCAGCATGACGAGAAGAAAATGTACAAATGGTTCTAAATAAACAAATGTTGACTTGCATTAGCTGATTTCCTTTTGTCTTTCGGCTTTAATAAGCAACTGCTAGCATAGAACTGTGAATAGACTGCACCCACTGAAAAAGACAAATGAAACTATAAACATGCTTTTTTTATTGAACAAACTGCTCACAAACCATTAAATAGAGCATTAACTTAAATAAGACATTACCACTACAGGATATTCAAGTTTAATTTCCCCTGACCCCTTTAAAATTTTTAGTTCTCAACTCGACAAAAACACCTCAACATCCTCCTTTTCTCCATCCATAGCTGTGAAAACTTCCCAGTCGCCACCAAATTGTCACCAGTTAATAGCTGACAGTTCGCTGGGGCTTCGTCTGATTGAGTGTGAACGCATGCCACGGGTACGTTTTTCTTCTTGTTGAAAATAGGTTGTATTAGTCAGTGAAGGTATAGCAGAAGACAAATGTTCAGCACATGTGGGAACTCCCTCAAGACTGTTGGAAAACTATTTACAGGTAAAGACCTAATGATGCTGATAATGCTCTAAAAACAAAAGAACATGTAGTTTACCTTGTTCATGTATTTTTTGGTTGCTACAAAAATCTTAAAGTTTTATAAGGTTCTGCTCTACAATGTGGAAAATAGTAAAAAATGAATGAGTAGCTGTGTCTAAACTGTACATTAAAATATATTTATATTTGCATTTTACATACAGTTTTAAATCCCTTTTCACAACAACAGCGATAAATATTAGAAAGAAAACATCCCCTGTGTGGTTTTAATCAGTTGCCTGATTTTACCCAGTTTTGTCTTCGAGTATTTAATCTCGCAAATAAGCTTTTGCTATCCTGTTCATATGTCTTCACATTTTTTTTAGGCTCTCAACCTTAATTCTTAATTTAGTCAGATACATTTCCATAATGAATAATATTGTCGGGCCTCAACCTTAATATTTAATTCAGTCAGGTACATTTACATAATATTATAGGGTCTCAATCTAGCTATCTAGTTTAGTCAGGTAAATGAGTATTTTCTATAATTTCATAGGGTTTAAATTATTCAGGCAAATGCACATCAGTTTTTTTTAAATGTGCCATATATGCAACAGTGACTTGACCTGACTAAAAGAATCATAATCACCTTTACAAAGATGTATATAAAATGCAAACTCCCTCTGAAGTCATTAAAGCTCCCACATTTTCAGAAAAACCCAACATGTGACGACACCCCAGAGTGTTGGTATCAGAGGTGTGGATTGTGAATCAGATTTTTTTGTTTTTTCGCCGTTTGAATTTAAACGACTAAATCAAGCAACACGTAGCTGCTGTTTCTACGACACTCATCTTACCACAGTGATAGAAAAGAGAGAGTGACGGTTGGAAATCTGCCGTATCATCAGTGTGATGCAACGAGAAGGAACAACGAGAGATGCTAGAGAGTACAAATACGAGATTTGTCTATTAAACTACAAGCCAACAGCCCTGGGATATGTCTTACACTGCGCCCGTAGGAGTTGTACATCCGATAAAATAATGCGTTCTGACGCCAAGGCAGAAAATATGCTGAGTGTTTCAAACAGGAATTAGAGGAAACGGTGAAACCTCTCACCAATCGTTTCAAGAAAAAAAAAGATGAAGAGAAAAAGCCAGTGGTCTCAAGGCTTTTGGCAAAGACTGGTTCCGATAAGGAGCGAGGAGGAGGAAAAACAAAAAAGAGAAACGGGGGGATATGTTGAGTCAGTATATTTCTGAACATTGTGACAGGACAGGACATATTTAGGAAAACAGGAAGAGTACGAGGAGAAGGAAAGAGTCTGTCAAAAACTATTGAGTCCAATTAGCTGAGCTGTTCCAGATAGTAGGATTACCGAGCAGTTTCTGTGGGACTTAGAGAGACAGGGCGAGATTGGGACAGCTGAAAAGATGGAGAGGGAGAAAAAATAGAGGGGAAAAGTAGGAGGTGGAGGGGGGGGAGAAGAAATTAGAGTGAAATGAAAGGCAGAGTGAAGATAGGATGAAAAGGAGATTGATGGGGGAGGATGAGAGGCAGGCAGGAGGCATCCGAGGAGAGAAAAACAAGCAACCGAGAGAGGAAAGAGACTGAGCGATCCTTGGGTCTGCAGCTGCCCCCGGTGCTGTTAGTATTTCCAGTCATCAGCATAATAAACACAAACGGTAGCAAAACGCGGAGACAGATAAAAGACAAGACAGGAGCGGAGAGAGATGATGAAATGGGTGAGTGCAGGAGCAATGAAGGAGAAACAGAACGCGCAGAACAGGAAGCAAAACAGGTTTTCATTATTTATACTAGTGATTTCTTCTATTCTTGTGTGCATCTAAACTATGTCAGATCTTCAAACTAAATTAAACACAAGGCAACCTGAGTAAACACAAAATACAAGTTTAAAAATGTATTTCATCTAATACCAATTTGATAATTAGCTGCAGCCGGACAAGACACACCCAGGCTCGACTACTGCCAGAGAGACCATATTCAGAAGCATTAGGTTTTGCTAAAAGGTCTCCCCATTAGCACACTCAGTAACGCCAGAGGAGATGAGAAAGAAGACGACTGAAATACATCAGTTTGGAGATGCAAAGCTATTTCTAAGGCTCTGCACACCACAAATCCACACTGAAAGATATAATCTACAAATGGGAAGAACAACGGTGAACCTTCATTACCCTGCCTCAATTAACGTCAGTGCTCGTGACTCTACAACCTCAGAGAAACTGAGAGCGGTAAAGGCAAAAACTACTGCCAACCCAGAAGATCGCTCATCTGCATTTTACAACCCACACCGTAATGATTTTCTATGGACTGATGAGTAGAAAGCTGAACTATTTAGAAGACAGGGATTCTGTTACAAGCAAATTCCATAAAAAGAACATTACACCAGGCATAGAGGTGGCAGTATTATGTTGTGGCGATGCTTTGCTGCTTCAGGGTGGGTGCTGTAATCTAACATTCTGTATTTTTGTACATCCAGATTACTCTATCCCTCATCACAAACAAACCAGACACTGGCCAAAAATGGAAAGAATGCAGCGTTTTTGTATTCTTAAACTTGCCGTCATCGTGCCTCAAAGAGTATAGTTTGGATTTTGTAATGGGGACGGCAGCCACTCGACCTCGGGGAACACCTAGTTTTGTGTGGGATGCATTTTGCGACGGCTATCGTTGAATATAACTTCACAGTGAGTCCTTCGACCTAACTTTATATTGCATTCCTATATATTTGCATATTTAATACGACCACCGTGTCATGTTTGCAATAGGCCTCATGCTTAACAGTCTCTCAGTTTCATCTATAACATTTAATAACCATTTAGCTTTTTGAACTCGTCAAATACCAACAGTGACTGCCGTAAAGTAGTTCAATTTAATATGATAGGCAGTTACAAATGCAGGTAGATGGAGTTTGACAGTTTGACAGCCCATACACGTGTTTCCACTGCGATGACGTCGTTTCCCGAACCTCCAGCGAGGAAATATGAACTCTGCCTAAATAGCTGCTCTCTGGAACCTGCAGTACACACAGTGCTGCAAAGAGGCTCCACTCGCATTTAATACCAGAAAAACAAAACAGATCAATCACACTAATGAGCCACTTGGATTTAATTGAGAAGGGCAGAGACAGAGGAGAAAAACATTCAGAGAGAAAGAAAGAAAGAAAGAAAGAAAGAAAGAAAGAAAGAAAGAAAGAAAGAAAGAAAGAAAGAAAGAAAGAAAGAAAGGTAAATTGTGGTATTGCTGTATCAGCATTCGATGAGCAGCGC